TGCTTTATAAAAGGCAACTATTTAAAGAATCAACAACAAAGAAATGTAAATAGAATACACCTAGTAAAAATAATGGCCCCATTATCCCCCTAAAAGAAAAAGGAAAGAAAAAAGGGAAATGCCCAGGCTGCAAATATACGAACATGATTATGTTCATAGAAGAAAACAAAAATGGAGGGGGGAGGGGGGGGGAAGAGTTCATAATGGTTTAATTTAAGTATGTTTTGTTTTCCTTGGGGGTGGGAGTCTTCTTATATACTTTCAAAATTCCCAGGTTTCCTAAGAAGGATCCATAGTATTTCATTAATTCTAAGATATAATTTTTTGCATCTTATCATCTCTTAAACCAGGATGCATCTTAAAATTGATTGCATGTTCCAGTTAAGTTGAAATAATTTAATGGCACATAAAGTATATTCATCTTACAATCAAAAACATCTTAACATCTATGAGATATGGTAGTTTTATAATGGGACAACTAAAATAATGGAAACATCTATATAAACTAATATAGGAAAGGGAGCTTCAAGAAATTTGTGGGAAAATGCAATGAAAAGATAAAGGGATTTTTTTTTTGAAGGAGCCAGTACTTGTGAATGTGTATGTATATAAATAAGATGAAGCAACAAATATGAAAGTTCCCATTTAACTACTGACTATAAAGACCTAAAATCACACAGACCAGAGAAGACTGTGGTTTTCTCCTATATCCAGTCACCTTCTTACCTATTCTAAGTTACCATCTTAGCTCCTAATCTAAAAGTCTCACTGAAAATTTCCTTTGTGAAGAAGAGCTAAGGAAAGCAAAATATTCACCATTCTTGGTAAATATTTTCAAGTTTCAGTTTTTAGTCTTAATTTCTTTCTTGTTCTAGATAATTTTCTAAGAAGTTAAGACTTCACTTAATTTGTTCCCTACAGGAATAAGCACTCGACCACAAGGTAAGTTTGAACCGCAAGGTCGGTGGTTCAAACTCACCAGCCACTCCTCAGAAACCCTATATAAGGTCACTATGGGTCGGAACAGACTCAATGGCACTTACCAGCCATCCTAATTCCTTTTTTTTTAAAAAAAGCAAACCCTATGAACTTTGCCCTCACTGAACACTCTGACATCATCACCCAGCAATCCCATTATGTATATAACTAAAATTGGAAATAGGAACTTAAAAACAGGCATTTATACACCAATGACCACTGAAGCATTATTTACAATAGTCAAAAGAAAGCAACCCAACTGTTGGTCAATAATGCATAAACAAAATGTGGTACAAGCAAGCAACAGACTATCACTCAGTCAAACTAAAAATGAAGCACTGATAGCACACTGCAGCAGAGATGAGCCTTGAAAGCATTATGCTGAACTCAACAAATCACACACAAAAAGGTTAAGTAGTTTATGATGAACCACAAGGTCCAGAGTTCAAGCTCACCAGCAGCTACTCAGAAATTCTATTATTAGTGGATAGCAAGGATTAGAGAGAAGGGAGAAAGAGAAACGCAATTTCTATTTAAACAGTTGCCATGGAGTTGAATGTAACTCATAGCACCCACATGTGTTTGTGTTTAAGGGAACAAAAGCCATTTGAAAATGAATAGTGGTGATGATTGTATAACATGGTAAATGCAATGAACATTATTCACTGAATAGTATACATAAAAATGGTTAAATAACAAATGTTTTGTTATATATGTATTTTATTATAATATCATTTTTGAAGTTATTGGAGTTTCCATTCATATGTATTTCCATGCAGGTTGTGGTATTATAATAAGTATATTAGAATTTTCTAAGTGTTGCTATAGGATAAGGGCTGAACAGCTAACTGAAAGTTGAATCTGTAGCTCAAATTCACTAGTCACTCCTCTTGAGAAAGATGAGGCTTTCTGTTCTAGTAAAGAGGTACAGAAATCAAATTGATTACATCTGTGAAAGAGAAGGTGAAAAAGTTCCATATCATCAGCCAAAACAAGGCCCCAGGCCAACTGTGAAACAGATCATCAATTATTGCTCATATGAAAGTTCACACTGAAGCTCAAGAAAATGAAATCAAGTTCAAGAGAGTCAAAATATAACTTTGAACATATCCCACCTGAATTTAGAGATCATCTCAAGAACAGACTTAATGCATCAGACACTAAAGACTGAAGATCAGAAGAGCTGTAGAATGACATCAAGAACATCATAGAGGAAGAAAGCAAAAGGTCACTAAGAAGACAAAAAAGAAGGAAATATCCAAAATGGATGTCAGAAGAGACTCTGAAACGTGCTCCCCAGCTTGCTAAAGCAAATGTTAAGAAAAGGAGGTTAAAGAGCTGAAGAGAAAATTTCAAAGGTCAGCTTAAGAAGACAAAGTCAAGTATTATAAGAAAATGTGCAAAGACAAGGAGTTAGAAAACCAAAAGGGAATAACATGCTCAGCATTTGTCAAGCTGAGGAAACTGAAGAAAAAATTCAAGCCTCAACTTACATTATTGAAGGATTCTATGTGCAAAATACTGAATGATGCAGAAAGCATCAAAAGAAGATGGAAGGAATGCACAGCGTGACTGTACCAAAAAGAAATGGTTGATGTTCAACTATTTCAGAGGTAGCATATGATCAAGAGCCAGTGATCCTGAAGGTAGAAGTCCATGGTGCATTGAAGACATTGGCAAAGAACAAGGCACTGGGAACTGATGAAATACAATTTGAAATAGTTCAACAAACTGATGTGGCACTGGAGGCAATCACTCATCCATGCCAAGAAATTTGGAAGACAACTACCCGGCTAACTGCCCATTCCTAAGAGAGGTGAACCATCAGAATGCAGAAATCAGACAGTAGCATGAATAGTACATGCAAGTAACATCTTGCTAAATATAATCCAAAAAATGACTGCAACCATACATTGACAGAGTATTTTCAGATGTTCAAGATGGATTCAGAAGAAGTGGAATGAGGGTTATCACTGCTGACATCAGAATGGATCCTGGCTGAAAGCAGAGAATACCAGAAAGATGTTTATCCTGTGCTTATTGGCTACACAAAGGCTTCTGAATGTGTGGATCATGACAAGTTATGGACAACATTGCACAGAATGAGTTTTCCAGAACACTTAATTGTGCTCATGAGGAACCTGTACATAGACCAAGAGGCAGTTGTTTGAACAGAACAAGGGAACATCGAATGCTTTAAAGTTAGGAAAGGTGTGCACCAAGGGTTGTATTCATTCATCATACTTATTCAATCTATATTATGAGCACATAATCAGAAAAGCTGGATTATATGAAGAAAAACATGGCATCAGAATAGGAGGAAGACTCATTAACAACCTGAGATATGCAGATGATACAACCTTGCTTGCTGTTTAGTGAAGAGGACTTAAATACTTACTGATGAAGATCAAAAACCACAGCCTTCAGTATGGGTTGCACATCAATGTAAAGAAAACAAAAATCCTCACTACTGGAGCAATAATAACATCCATATAAATGGCGGCAGCAATGGGCTCATGCTTAACAACAATTGTGAGGCTGGCGTGGGACTGAGCAGTGTTTCATTCTGTAGTACAAAGGGTCGCTATGAATCAATACCCACAAGACTGCACCTAACAACGACTTCGAATGAATTCGAGGACACTTAACAACAACAAAAGACGTACAGCCTTAAAAACCTTTTACAGGATTGTTATGAGTTGGAATTGACTCAATGGTGGTGGTTGTTGTTAAGTACCGCTGAGTGGGTTCCAACTCATAGTGACCCTGCACAGAGTTTCCGAGGCTGTAAATCTTTACAGGAGCAGAACGCCTCATCTTTCTCCCGCAGAGCTGCTGGTAGTTTAGAACTGCCGACCTTGAGGTTAGCAGCCCGATTCGTAACCACTATGCTACCAGAGCTCCTTGACTCAATAGTAGTAGAGTATATTTTAATTTAAAACAAAACAAAAAAAACCCTATCTTATTTGTCACAGTTGGTCGCCCTTTAACTTTTACCCTACTAATTAATCCCTTTCAAACCACAGCAACATGTCCCAAATGATCAACATGACACAAGACTTTAAAAATGGCTGTGAGCTTATTTTTTGTAATAGATGCTTCATGTAGATCCATGTATCAATAAATCATTGAGCTGAAGCATACCCAATTTAAAAAATAAAAATAAAAAATCTCATACTAACGTCAACTCTAAAGGTAGGATTTTTTGTTCACCATGGTCCCATGAAGAAGAACAGTGCCCGGTACATAGTTAGGCACTCAAATATATACATTTCTTTTCTCTGCTTATTTCTTTCTGACTCAAAATTTTTTCTAAATTGAGTTTTCAGGTAGAAAAGCTATGCATAATGTCACTTTCAAAGGTAAACACTGCACAATAAATATCAGTCCTTTGCAGATTACTGTTAAGTGCCATCAAAGTTGGTTCCGACTCATTATGACCATGAACAAGGTTTCCCAGAAGCAGCTGGTGAGTTGACCTTGTGGCCCAGTGTTTATCATACAAGCACCACACCAAGACTCCTCTGCAGATAGAGCACAGGAGAAATCAAAATCCTCAGCATTAATGTCTAATTTTGTCAGAACAATCTTTTAGAAGGGGGAAAAAATATTTTCTTGAAGAAAACAAGTGAAGCAAGCTTAGTGGTACAACAGAAACACGCCTATACAAAAAGGCAAAAGGATGAGAAATCTTCAATAGTCAACAAACACCACTTGTCCATAAATATAGCAAATAGACATTATAGCCAATGACTTAACATATATAAAGTTTTTTTCTTATGCTTCCTTTTAGCCGAGATAGTCAAATTGTTTTGTTGTAAACACATGTCCAATTAACATTATATCGTTTTCTGCACTAAACAAAGCAACACCAGACTCTAAGTAAATTAAACCACTGTATCAGTTAATAAACTATTCTCCTTGACATGGTTAATAGTCATTGAAGGGCCATTAGGGGATAGGAGAAAAGGAACAGTGGTAGTTTTCAGGTGGTTGAAAAATACCAGACACTTGGGCCTTACCTTATTAGCACGAATCTGTTTGTAAATATCTGTCTGTTGCCGAATTCGATATTCCAAGTCAGAAACATGAGCCTGAAGCCAGTTCCAGCGGCTAACAATGGCTGCTCGGTCTGCAGCCCATTTCCACTCTGACCTGCGCCTCCTAAAAGGAAATAAACCAAATGAAATCCAAGAGTAGTAGTAACATCTATACAGAATTGGGGGTGTGGGATGCATGCAGGGTGAAGTTAACATCCATTAAAGACAGTTTATTCATAGACAAATTAATATTTACACACACACACACACACACACACACACACACGGTGATGGTTGTGTGCTGTGAAGTTGGTTCCGACTCACAGCGACTCTGTACAGGGTTTCTGAGGCTGTAAATCTTCACAAGATTTTCTCCTATGGAACAGCTAGTAGTTTTGAACTGCTGACCTTAAGGTTAGCAGCCTGACTCATAACCGCTACGTTACCAGAACTCCATATATAGAGAGAATCTTTGGCAAATAATTTCTCTGAAATTGCTGTAATTTATTAGGAGATAGAAATATTTTCTACTTTAAAACCTATATAAAGATTAGAGAGGATATCTACATCAAGACTAATCAAGACTTCTGCCAGTTGCTGAGTAAAGATCAAGATACAAAACCTAATAGCATACATTAAGAGGAAAACATTTTAAAAGGCACAGGTGGGTTACAAACTGGACTCAAGGTCAGCAGTTCGAAACTACCAGCTGTTCTGCGGGAAAAAGAGGAGGCTTTCTGCTCCCGTAAAGATTTGCAGCCTTGGAAACCCTGTACACGGTCGCTAAGAGTGGGAACCGACTCCAAGGCACATAACCACCACCACATACAGTGACACTATGAGTCAGAACTGGCACTAATTACAACATAAATACGTTTCTCTTTTTAAAAAAATCTGACAGAAACATGGTAACATTTTAACATTCCTTAATGTTAAGAGGGGGGTAGGTACTTGGTGTCTGTTTTATTCTGCTATCAGTATTTCATAATCTACCACAAAATTATTTTTCAACAAGGAAGAAACAGTCATATTGTCCTTAGATGTACCTCCAATCAAAATACCAATATTTACTAAGTTTTTTTTAAAACTGTAAGTGAACTTTAACATAATTCACCTACAGGAGAAATACACCATGATGACAGTAATAAAGAACAACACACCATGCTACCAGTAAACACAAATCTAACTACAGTAGGGTTAGAACTGGGTTATTAAAACCATTAAATAATTAAGGTCAAAGGAAGAAATCATGTTAAGGCTCATCGTCTTCCTATTCTATAAAATATCTTAGTTTTACACAGATTCCTTTCTATTGTAAATCTACCACCAAAACTTGCTCCGAATCTAGCAATCACCACTAAACTATTCCAATAGCCTCCTAGCTAATTCCCCTTAATCCAACCTATTTCTTCCTATCGCTCAGCTTCATTTCAAATCCTGAATACAGTACATACAAGGGGAGTCAGATATTTTAATAAACAATTAAAAAGTAAAATATGAATGATTAAATCAATAACATTCATTTAATGACAGATTATTCATAGACAAATATTTTAACAAATGATACTGGCGAGCAAAAATAAAACCCTAATGATGGAAAACAGGAGTCCTGGTGTGGTGCTCTAGGATAAGCTCTGGACTGCTAACAGAAAAGTTGGCATTTCAAACCCACCAGCCACTCCTCGGAAACCCTATTCAGAGTAACTATGAGTCAGAACAGACTAGGGTTACTTAATAACAACAACAATGGGAAACAAAGCAAAGTAAAGATGATTTCTATCACTTAAGTAACTTTTCCTTAGTCATTAGTGGACAAAGAGTTCTGGCAATCTCTCCCAAAAAGCCTGATCTTAGCTCATAAACCTCACAATAGTATTCCAGGAAAACCATGCTCTCTAAATACGTGGGAAGGATGAAACTTCGTTGTTGCCTCTGAATTTGAAAATACCTTAACAAAAATACTTTTTTTTCTTGCTTGCTTAATTAATGTGAAAATAAACACAAGCATAGATATGAAAATTTCAGTTCATAATAACTTTGGTAGTCAAGTATCTCTTTTCTTTGGTACCAATTAAAGCCCATTTCAGCTTTCCTGAGGTGCCAAGTAATGGACCTTTACAGGTATTTTTCTAAATACCTATACAAATTCAACTCTCTAGAGAATACTTTTGGAGATAAGCTAATAATGTAATTAAAGTACTAAGGGAATACTAAAAATCCCCAACTTATGAACAGGTTTTATTCTACAAATACATTTGTCATATGACTGTTTGGAACTTGAAGTGATTTCCATCCAAAGTTAACACAAGCTGCTATTCCAGAATGTTGCAAAGATCTGATTCCATACTGACTGAAAAACAGAAAGCCTAACAGAAGTGTCCAGTAAGTATCCGGTGTTCAAAATGCCAGCAATATGGGCAAAAAAAAAAAGAGCTGTTAGCAAAGGTGAGTCTGGGTGAGCTATGAAGATGTTACCACACCCCAGAGGTAGAGTTGTTGTGAAGTGCTGTCCAGTCGGTTCTACTCATGGTGATTCTATATATGATTTCCGAGGAGCAGCTGGTGAGCTTGAACCACCAACCTTGCAGCTCAAATCAATTTTGCAGTCTAGCTCATTAACCCTTAGTGCCATACCATAGCCGAATTGTTGTTGTTAAGTGCCATCAAGTAGGTTCCAACCCATAACAACCCTATATAGGGTAATCCAAGGAACAGCTGGTAAGCTTGAAATGCCAACATTGTGGTTCAAAGGCTTTGCAGTCTGGCACATTAACCCACAGCACCACACCACATCTTTTTTTTTTTCCCCCCTTAACAAAACAAGTCAAAGAAACTCAGTTTATCAGAAGTTTTCCCCAAGTATTCAAACTGTAAATGTATTACTCTGATGACTTATAGCTCAAAATCATAGAAGACACATATATAGCATTCACGTTATGGTTAATGATAGGTGTCTAAAATGATCATTAAGTTCCTGGATCATAAAATGGTTTAAAATACTCAGGTACTAACCAGAATGTTGAAGGTTTAGATTCTATCAGAAGCATCTTTTGGGGGGAAAACCCTAGCAGTCTCCCCCCGGCCCCCGCCTTCAAAAACAAAAACAAAACAGTCACTACAAACCCAACAGTGCACAGTTATAGTTTGACACATGTGGGGCTGCCATGACTTGAAACTGAACTAAACTGCAAATGGTTTTCAAAAAGAACACAATGACTTGGTTTTCCAATGTAGTCAATAATGGTGAATAAAAAGATAATGGATCCTTCAGATTTGGGTGGCTGATAATTTTCGAGATTACGAGTAAATTCTAAATAAAACCTTTATAAATAAGAGGGGACTTCAAAAAGTTTGTAGAAAAATTCCATTGCCTTTTAACTCTATTTTCCACGAACTTCTGAAGCCCCCTCATTTTGCTCCTTACTTTCAGAAACTTTTTATTCATAAACTTGCTTTGTTTATGAATAAAATATATGCTGTATAAGAATTTATTATAATTTTACAGCAGGAATTGCTTTTTGGTTACCAAAATGCTGTAAAATATAAATCAGGATTTGCTTTTGTGATATCCACATGAACAGCAAATTTTAATGGTGTCTGCTCTGCGTCATTATTTGTTTATATCAATAAGTTTCTTTTATAGCTGTATGAACTGATACTTTAATAAATCTTTTTATAGGGTTAGTAGAATGTTAACATCCCTCATGACTCAGTGGTTAAAACACTCAGCTGGGAACTGAAAGGTCAGTGGTTTGAACCTACCAGTCGCTTTATGCAAGAAAAGATGTAGCATTTGTTTCTGTTTATAACCAAGAAAACTCTATAAGGCAATTCTACTCTGTCCTATAGGATTCCTAGGAGTTGGAATGAACTCAGCAGCCAACAACAACATATCTAGAACTTAAGAATGAGCTGCTGGGTCCAAGAATATATTGTATTTACACTGCCCACCTCCCCCACAAAAAAATTATTTCTACTTAAAAAAAAAAGACTTATAAGCACATTTAAACCAGTGAAAAGGGTTTTTATTCCTTTCAAAGTTAGAGATCTACTTACATCATGCTAGTTTAAAGCGTCAAACAAAAAAGAAATCACCTTTTGCTTTTCTTTAAAATCATTGTGAATGGTATTTTTAGTGGAAAAGTTTCATAAGGAGAAGATAAACAGAACAACAAGGGGCTTTTATGGAGCATTTAATAAATGTGGTGACCCAGACGCCTTCAATCGTAAGTTAAAATTATACATCAAATCCTCAGAGGTGTCATTGAAACGACGTTTTCTTCCCATAATAGATAATGATATAAATGACTTAACTCACAGATGGACACTATTAAATATGTTAAAATAAAAGAGCCAAGAATGTAATTTCTGCTAACACAGAAAGTGAAAAATAAGGACTTACAACACTATATTCCTTCTTGTCAATAAAAGAGATTATTAATAGACCAACTTTTATTACTCTGTAAGCCTTATTGTCAATGCTATATATAACACAACCAGACAGAAAAACAAAGGACATCAGTGCAGGATACTGCCTTTTCTCAAAGATAAGCTACAGTAGAAGCTAACTAACTGTGTTATCTAAAAGTAACACTCAAAATAAGGAGAGCCATGTCCAACCAACCTAGTGCTGCCTCTAAGTCACCTGGTTCTATTTCAAGCTGGTAATAGAATTGGGCTGGGGGATCACATAGAAAAACATTTCTTAATCTTATATTTAAAGCAGCAACAAATTATGTCAGAAGGACCTGGAATGGGGATAGTTTCAGTCCTCTATCTGATTCTTTCCTTTTATGTCAGTCAACAAAGATTCTAGTAACAAAACAAATTGAAATGACTTTCCAGAGCAAGTTATGAAGTCACACAGTGTAACTAATGCTACTGCTGGTAACTCCATGCTGTATCAATTTTATGAATTATCTAAACTACTTGTTTATATATAATATTATTATTACCCAGTTAAAAAGAGGGTGAAACAAATGAATAGGGAAAAGAACGTGAAGACAGATTGAAACCAATTCCTGACTTTTACTCACAAACTAGCTACTGCTTCACCATTATTAAGCAGAAGTAACACATACTTCGGACATATTGTCAGGAGGGACCAGCCACTGGAGAAGGATA